AAGTTGCAATTAAGCAAACACTCCCTCATAGGTTCAACACTCTATCACTTTATTAGTTGATTCAACACTTATACTTTTAAATTTTAGTGGGCTTAAATTAATTTTATATCAAAGAAAATCTAATCATATTGCAAACTCAACAAGTCATGTACAAGCTCATATTATTGGCATTTGCTTGTCGCACCATCAAGAGTCTCATAAGGTCCATAGAAATTTGTGAAATTAATTTCATAAGCATTTAAGCTCATTTGGTTAATCTATTAGTAAACCTTAAAATCAGCTTATTAAATGACCTAATAAATTCAAATATATATAACTAAATGTAGAAACATCATAATAATGCAACTAAGTTGTATTATATTCTTAATTAAATACACAATAAAAATTAAATAACTTTTTTCTTTAGTCATTCATAAAATATATTTTATACATAATTAATTAATAATGTAATACAAAATAAGAAAAATCATTAAAAATAAAATAAAAGTTTAAATTGCCTAAAAGTTTTATGGATTTTAACTTAAGTCATTGAATATCTATGGTTAAACTTCATAAGTCTTGGAAGTTATTTGGTGCCTTAAATAGAAAACCCTAGTCCCTTTCCAATAAAACCATAATATCTAAAAAATACATAAGAAATGTAAAAAAAATATGTAAAAAATATGCTTTAAAATTTAAATAAAAATTTTAAAAACTATAAAAAAATAATATGTTAACTAAACTTTAAAAATTAATTAATTAATTTAGAATATAGCATAATAAAACAAACACACTTCTATTGCACCCCTAACAAACTTGAGAATGTTATAAAAAAAATTCAAATTTAAAATTCAAAAAATATGAATCAATAAAACTCTCATGAGATGAACCATTGTTCGTACAAGACAAACATTAAGCTAATTCAATATATAGTATTATACAATTCATATCATACGGTCCGATCTAACAAAATTCAAAAATGGCTATTTTCTCATGTTGAACTAATCAGATAGTATTATCCACACTTTATATCCTACGATCAATGTATCAAAATGAAAAAAAATAGGGTCTGCTTTAAATAGTCAATTTGATTATTTTAATCAGATGTGTGGGTGAGGCAAGTGAGTACCTAAAGTCACTTTTCCATGAGAGAGACTCCATTAGAGAGGGAGAGGTCATTCACCTTGCTTGAGATAGCTTGTCCAAACCATTTTGGGAGATAAGGTGAGGTTTAGAGGTGAGGAGTCAAAGGTTATGTGTGGGAGATCACACAGTTGTCCTCATTGGCTTACACCTTTGTCTTCCGAGTTGTGTGTTAGGAGCTCTTGGAGAGAAGGGAGAAAGAATTGTGACTAGCTGAGGAGCCAAGGGGAGTAGCATCTCCACCATTGTGTGGAGAAAAAGGATGGTGAAGGCATCTCAACTGTGCAAGAGGAAAATGAAGAGAGGCATCTCTGTCGTGCTGGGAAGCAAGAGGGAGTCTACACTTTTTGAGAGGAAGCACTTGTAAAGGTTATTCTCTACCTAAAAATTTGGAAGGGCTTCTCTACCTTGCTAAGTACAAAAGGAGTATTTACTAATAGAATTCCCAAAGAGGATGACCGTTAGGAAGTGGACACAGGTCAAGTTTGATCAAACCACTATAATATCTTGGTTTGCATTTCTTATACTTTTCTACACTTTACTTCATGTAAATCTTATTATTTAAGATTTGTGATTTTTAAAGTTTAGTTATTACATTAAAACTAAAATAAAATATTTGTTTGAACTTATTTTGTAAATTAAACCCTTATACCTGAGTCCTCTCCACTACTACAACTCAAAGACATTGTCAGCTCTCAACCTCCTAGCCCCTTCTCCTCACTTTGCTAAAACCCCAGTTGCTCTACACTCCCCATCGAAGAGGCTCCTCCAGACCTGCACCTCACAATCACTACAAACTACCAATGCATCCCACCAAACTCTCGCTCCCTTCATGTCGTACCTCTCAAACTCGTCTCTACATCAACTTCCTTAAAGCTCATCACTAAATAGCCACATGTTGTACCAATCAAATCTAACATCAACGGCTCAAAATGCACAGACTAGTTTTGTAAAATCGGTACCAATTTTTTGGTTCGGCAATTGAACAAATGGTTTAAAAGGTTCAATCTCTATTCTTTGCAAAAACTGTTGAATAAATTGAAATCAGTTGGCCTACCGGTTCGTAGTTCAACAGGTTGAACTTTCTGGTCTGGTCTGGTTTTCAAAGCCTTGGATTTTAAAATATTTTAAAAGTTCAAGAATTGCTTGTGAAACCATTTGAACTGCCCAAGGTTGACCAAGAGGGGATTGAATTGGTGTTTTAAAAATTTTCTCTCAATTATTCTCTTTCGAAACATCAAACCAATTACATAAACTTAAGCGAAAGAAAATAATGAAATAAATATTCTTTTCTCTTCTCAATTTGTGTTAAAATAAAACTTGAAGATATATTTTCTTTTTATTTTATTTTTCAATAATTTCAACACATAGTTGTAATAAAAGTAAAACATGTAAGAAATTAATATGCAAAAAAAAAATGCAAAAAAAAAAAAGTAGAAGAGGGCTTAAAATTTTAAAAAAAATGCAAGAAATTACAATGCAAGATCTCCAAAAACACTCAAAAAGAAACTCTCTCAAAAAATTTTCTAGTAACCAAAGACTCATTCAAAGTCTAATGAGAGGGCTTAAATATAAGGCTTCCAAAAATCCTAATTTTTTATGTTAGCCAACTCTATTTGTAAAGTATGATTTGCGGGTCTTATAGTACAATTAATTCAAAAATTCTAGTTTGTTCTTTGCAATGAACAGACTTTAGTACAATCAGTTCAAGAACCCTAAAATAATCGTATAGTACAAATAATTAATCGTACAATACAATTGAGACATTTTACTTTTGTTCATCCAGAACAATATATAGGATGATAAAAAATTATCTATATCGATCGCCCAATACAATTAGTATCATATTGTACAAATATTTCAGTAAATCAAGATTTATCCAGGACGATCCCGGGGACGATCGAAAATCGTCCTTATCGATCATCCAATACAATCACGATCATGCCACATGATCAGACTAGATAATTAAATCATATTTTGATTGGCTTATCATAGGGATTAATTTTGGCATGATTTCAAAAATCATATAGTACGATTAGTTTAAAATTAAAATTTCAAATTACTTACCTAAATATGATTGGCGACTGGGGCTTGAATTTATATTGATCATCCTATACAATCTGATTCATACAATGCCATTAGTTCATAAAGATTAATCACTCAATTAGCTATTTAATTTATTTTAAGATCAATTAATCATATAGTATGAAATTCAGAAAATTTAAACTTCATATTTTTACTTTCATTTGTACGTGCACGATTACTAAGATAGCATATGCCTTTATAAGACTTTTGACTCAAGAAATATAAAAGTGAATAAATAAAAATACAGACTTTTGCAAAACATCAACATATTCTACCTAGTCATGGGTCTTAGGCTTCGTTTAGGACGGCTTTTTTACTGCTTTCTAAAACGGAGTTTTACTACAAAATTTTTTATTTTTGTATTAAAACTCTGTTTTAGAAAGTAATAAAAAAGCCGTCCTAAACAAAGCCTTAATCTTTTGATGCACGGTATACTTCAAAAGTTAGTATGCACAAGAAAAATATGCAATAAGGGTACTATAAGAAATAAAATAAAATTCAATAATGCTTTTTATCATCTAAATCATAAGCTCAATTCCTGGATTGCTATATACTTATTTTTCTTTAATTAAATTGAATCACAATTTTAATGGCGAGTGTGTGCTAGACATCTTAATCTTGCTAAAACTTATTTGTGATAATTTTATAACTTAATAATGAAATAATATAATTTTGCTTGAAGTTTTATTGTGTGTTGACGAACTAGTTGCACCAAACTAATTATAATCTGATATGATGAACCAAACTAATATTTTAAATAATTAGTTTAAGTTTATTAATATTGAACGATTTAATAATTGGTTTAAATTTTATAATAATTAAAAATAAGTTTATATTTATTTAAGAATAATTTCAACTAGAGGTATAAACAAGTAGATGCATAAACAAGTTAAGCCAAGGTCAAAAAAACTTTAACTAAACCTCAATCTATTAATTGAGTTTAAACTCAAGCTTAATTCTACAAATTTGATCCCACTTATTTAATTTGAAAAAAATATATATAATTCAAACAATTATTGTAATAAAACTATAAAATAAATAAATAAAATTAAATAGTAAAAAATCACTTTTTAAAAATACTACTTAATTTTAAATATTTATAATAACTAAATATTTAATCTTCTATATTCTGCTATATTTTAATTATATTTCTACTAATATTTTTTCAATATATTTATAATAATAAGCTGACAAATCAAAATTAATACTAACTCATTAGCTTATCTTAAGCTCAGAGGTCATTAACCAAATCAAACTAGAGTTGGCTCACAAATCAACTTGCACCCCTAATTTTAACTTTTAATAATTAGAGCAAATTCATTTTATATAGTTCAATCATATAAGCAAAAATAAATATAAAATAAATGTTATATTAGATATAATAATTTCTTTAAAAATCAAAACAAATTTACTATACAAATGAGCTCTCATAATAAAACAGAGGCATTAGTTTTATTCATTTCTTTTAAAAAAAATAAAATTAAATAAAAACTTCTTATAATTATAAAAAAATTTTAATAGCTTTATATTTTAAATATATGTAATTGCAATTTAATTACTAACATTAATCAATTTTATACTGAATAAAAAAAACATAGATTATAAGATATATTCGCCAAATAAAACTTCAAAGATCTTCACTTTAAAGATTGAAGATCCTCTTGCAATCTACTTTCCGCTTTCTCTTCTTCCCCTTAATAATAAAAAAAATCAAGTGCGGCAACAGCGAACACCAGTTTCAGGTACAAATATGCAATAATTTCCTTATTGCGGCCACATAGAAAACCAAAAAGAAGAGAAGCAGAATTTTACTAATAAGAGGAGTTAAGAGCGAGCATAAAGCAAGACGGAAACCACAACTTTTCTATAAACAAATCGGATCTAGAGTTACTATAAACACAGCTAATTCTTTAAGATTGTTATGAATATCAACGAATGGCACATTTGATGCTAACGACAGTTGATAATCCGTGCTGAAAGTAAAGGCATACAAAAAGGGGAACAGAAATGCAAAAGAAGAGCACAGGGTCCTTCAGTCAGGTGTTGGGCACAGTTAAAGAAGAACGCCATGGCTGATGAACAAAGGCATAACGTTGTATTGAAAGACTTAAGAGTCCTTTTGCTTCTAGTACAAGTTTCTAAATGTCAACCAAGTTCAAAAACCTGCTTAACCTTATGCCGGGCCTATCTTACAGCAAAATTGGCAGTATAAATCAAGAGAAGAGACGAAGGAAATTACTAGCGTATGCCATTGGCATGACATTGGGATGTGGCTGCAAAAAGTTCAACGAATACGAGAAAAAAAAAACATTAGTAATGAATTGATTGGAACAAAAAAAAATGTCAAGTGATATGAGTTCAAAAGAAAAGCAGCTAAAATTAAACATTGTGCAAGGATAAACTGACATTATTTTATTAGAATGAGTTTCAGGGCCTTGGAGTTTACGCTAAGATTAGCATACATGCTACATCATGAATTTTATTAATCTTAATGGAAATCCAAAAACTTTGAAGTCTATCCTGTTGCAAAATACGTCAAGATATTCTAAAACATTAATTGAGCAAACAACACAATGCAAGAACTGATTGAATTTCAAAAAGAAAACAGTAGTTAAGAGACCATTCAAAGTAAGGCTGGTTATAAGGGGCAAATTACAGCAAGATTCAAGGATAAACCAGTTACCAGTGAAAAATAACATTAATCACAGAAGTAAAGAGATTAAAAGTAGGAAACTAATATAAGGATGAACGACAAAGTGAATAAGTAGGCCTTGATGCCTATAATAAAGATATAACTGGATCATAATGCTTCTAATGTTACGATTCGAATAAGCCTAGTAAAATCCACAAGTAAAGTTGGCCTACAGGTTGAAACCAATCAGTAACTAGAACAGAAGAAGCAAAAGAAACGTTATGGAACGGTTGCATGTGTATATTATGGTCATGCACACAGAAAGGATGAAGAACCTACATAAATTCACCGAGCATGCTAAAGAAGAATCATGAATGAATCTTGGATTTTCTTAACATGCACGAACAAATTCAGTAACAGGAATCAAGAAAAAGCAGTACACAGAATGTTCTAAGAATTCAACTGACCACTGATGAAAATGTCACAATGTCTGGTTTCATGTCCGGGGCCTTAAAGCGTATGAGAGCACCCTTGTTTCCCATCTGAATGAAAATAGCAGTTAGCATACCATCCAAATTAGCATTTATTAAACGGAAACAGAATTGGGCAGTAATTCTTATATACGTGCAATCTTCCTCCAAACCCTAATAAAGCATATGCATATCAAAACTAAGCACGCATGCAATAAAAAGTTCTTTTGCCTTTGGACAGGTGAAGGGTAGGTGGCAGCAACTCATCCATATCAGTGTATTAGGCTTCATTTGGGACGGCTTTCTTTCTGCTTCTTAAAGCAGCTTTCTAGTACAAAATTTTTATTTTTGTATTTAAAAACTGTTTTAAGAAGCAAAAAAAAAAGCAGTCCCAAATGAAGCCTTAGTAAGACACTTAGTAAGACAAATAGAGAGAAAAAGGCCGTAATTCTTAAAAACAATCATCCTTTAAATAAGAAGAAGACTCTACTTCAAACACTCTTTACTCTTCTTAACGGAGACATCCTTTTTCAAATAAGAGATAATGGTTTTATTCATTTTAAGTTGCATTCTACGCTTTTATCCATAGGAAGGAAGAAACAGGAACTAACTTTAATTTCTCATCAGTTTTCACTGATAAAGAAGAAAGAAAAGTGCATCCAACCATGCAAAAGGATCATTCACTGCTAAGCTGCCAGAGTAGCGTTAATCTCTAACACAAAAGCGTGAATGAAAACCATGAAAGGGCCAAGTCACTCTTACTCTCCAACCACAACACCACCATCAACCTCGTCACCCACAGAAAGGGCTGAGTTACCCTTGTAGAGGAAGGAGCTCATAGAATACGTGTAGGCCATGTACTGCAATGACTGCAAGTTATGGAATCTGATACAGAGGAAGCAGATAATGGAGTGTGAAACTTACTCCATCTCCTTGCAATAACAATTCATGGTTTTCATGTCATATTTTGGCATGAATGAATCTGATTTCTTTGGTCAAGCTGAATCTATCAAGCATAAAAAAAACTGTTTTCTAGCCTTCCAATGCACTTCTTCACACATAAACAGTGGAAATCACTTTTACTCAGATAAAGCTTCTATGTTTTACTATCAATTTTTTTTCTCTGATATGTTACATGCTAATAAAGAAAAAATCCACGAGTAAATAAGAATGTTCTTTAATTTATCTATTTTTTCAGTTGTATTAAGCTCTAATAACAAAGATGTAAGCTTCGAATTCAATATATATATAAAAAAATAATAATAAAATATTAATCAGGTGAATTACTTGAGGCTTCTAATTTTTTCGTGCTATATTAAAACATACATTCAATCTGAATACTTTTTCATAACTGCCTTACATAATTTATAAGGGCTTAATATACAATCCTAACGTCTCATTTTTTGTACATAGACATTTTTTTCTCTCATAATGTAAAGTCAAAATTTTAAGAAATAAAATAGAATTATAAATTTGCTTTACGCCATATTTTTACAATTTAGTAAATGCCATCACCATAAGCATTTTATGTTATTTATTTATTGTTGCTCACATAATAAAATATCTAATCAAAATCATAATTTTCTTAATAAAAAATATTATTTTTTATGTTGCAAGTCTCTCTCCCAATTGTTTCTCTTGCATGCAGCAAAGAGAGGAAGAGACTGTGGCCTTCGGCCACCACAGTGGAAGAAGATGACTTGGAAGACAAGGATGGGTGGTGATGGCTTTGGACAAAAGTGGGCCTTCAAGGATGAGAGAAGAATAAAGGCTGCAACTTCGGTAATGAGTGAAGAAGGGTGGAAGCTTCATCAATGCGGTAGAAGTTGTTTCAAAGAACATGGATGGCTTTGCTTTCAACGACTGAAAGAGTGAAGCTTCGGTGAATTCAGCTTCAATGACACGGGACGGTGGCTTTGATAAAAACAAATGTGGGTGTTGGCTTCAGCAAAGGCGAGGGGTTTAGCAGTGAGTGAAGTAGGGGTGTGATGGCTTTGTGGAAGAGTCCAGAAGGAGAGAGACAACCTCAACTAAGTGCGAGACCTCTTCAGCAAGGAGATAAATCTTTGGCAGTTCTACACATAATTTTACAATCACTATTATTTATGAACAATAAATATGTTAGACCGGCCCAGGATGGGCCGGTTGGACAGGTCCAGTAGGGACCGGTCCGCGTCTACGCGAGACGGAACCTGGGCGGAAACGGCTCTGCCGTGAATCCACGTAGGCTTGAGAGGGGGAGTTTAGGAGGGAAATTTTGAACGTGAAAGGCTGTTTTAGGAAGTTTATGATTGTCCTTTATGATTAATTTTGTATAATTAGGAGTTTGGGGGGAATTAGCTCCTCATCTTGACTTTGAGTTTTCTCTTTGAGATCTAGGGTTTGCTTTGGGCTCTTGGCTTCGCCGGAGACTTTGGAGAGTACGTTCTTACTCTCGAATTGAAGAACAAATTGTATATTTGCTATTTGTTTCGTCTACTAGTAAAATACAAGCCTTTGCTTGCGTTGTCTCTCAATTTTCTCGCAATTTTCACTGTTTTCCTGCGCATATTTGCTGTCCACTGATGGAGACAGCAGTTTTTCTCCTTGTTCTGCTTCAGTTTTGGCTAGGAATTACTTGAAATCAAGTATTTCCTATCAAATTGATATCAGAGCATCGATTCGGGATCACCGGCGGCTGAAATCCTGAAATTTCAGCAAGTTCTTCGTCTCCGGAAGAATAATTTTGTGGAACCGTTAGAAGAACAATGGCCGGAAAGAAGATGGACGTTTTGGAGGGTGAAGTCGGCCAATTGAAAACCGATTTGGAGGAGAGATTTCTCGACTTTCAGAATCAAATCACCACCAACAACGAAAGGTTGGAGGGCAAATTTATGGCCATAGAAGAAATGATGAAGAAATTGTTGGAGATGAAGATGAATGTCAGAGCAAAGAACTGTCATAGAAGTCTCCTCCCCCATCGGCTCGGAAACGCTCTAATAAACAATCCTTGAACTCTCTCCAGTTCTGACAGGTTCTCTCCTATCTCTTCCACTGATACCAGGCCCAACGCCTTCCCTTCCAGACACAAACCTGCCGCCGTTAGCTTCTCATCGTGTCAACCCGGTGACTGCACAGTAAACGCTCCACCTTATAGATCCAGTCATGGCCATCTAAGATGGGCATCTTCAACTTCCTCACCTCGCGATCCCTTCCGTGTTACCCGGAACTCTCCATAACCTCCCATTCCTCGAAGAGGAGGCGCTCCCCAAGTATCCCGGTCCTCCCTCCGACGTTGGTATCCGAGTCCATCATCATAATCCCCTCTTCCCCTTTCAAGATCAGCACCTCGACGCTGAAATTCAGCACCTCGACCGATGAATTCTCTCTTCTTTCGCCAAAATCTGCAACTTCCCTCATATTCTCCCTCCTGCCTTCAAAATCCGCGCCTTGCGCTGAAATTCAGCCACCTCGACGCTGAAATCAAGCCACTTGACGGTCATTCCTCATGCTCATCTCCTCTCTAGAAATGGCTCTAGAGGTGGCATGTCGATCGTCTCCCTCAAGGATCTCCACATCTTGATTTCTCCTCCTACGCGGGTTCGGATTTCCTCCTACACCGTGGTCTCCTGAGTTTCTCTTGCTTCCGACGCCGTCGGAG